TGTAAGAAATTACAAGAACATTTTTACATACTTTTGAGGGCAAAATCTGAAAAGCAATTTTTTTGTTCAGCACCATTAATATGGTGGTTCAAAATTGCAAAAGCCACTGCCATTGAGTTGATTCAGACTCATAGCAACACTATAGGACAAAACAGAACTGCCCCATGAAGGTTTCCAAGGCTGTGAATCTTTCAGAAGCAGACTGCCATATCTTTCTCCCACAGAGCAGCTGGTGGGTTCAAGCCACCGAACTTTTGGTTAGAAGCCAAATGCTTTAACTGCTGCCTCAGCAGAGCTCCTAGCTGATAAGTTTTTGGTGAAAGCTGTCATCAAGTTGACTCCGACCTATAGCAACCATATGTAGAACAGAAAGAAACACTGCCTGGTCATGTGCCAGCTTCATGATCCCTGCTTTACCTGAGCCCATTGTTGCAGCCATTGTATCAATCCATCCTGTTGGGGGCCTTTCCCTTTTTCATTGACCCTCCACTTTACCAAGCATGATAATCCTCCAGTGAATAGTCCCTTCTGACGATGTCACCAAAGTAAGTGAGACGAACTCTGGCCATTCTCACTTCCAAGGAGCATTCTGGTTGCACTTCCAGGATGGATTTGTTAGTTCTTTTAGCAGTCCATGGTACTCCAGTATTCTTCACCAACACCACAACTCAAAAGCACAGACTCTTCATCAGTCTTCTCTATTCATTGTCCAGCTCTCACATTCGTAAGAGGCAACTGAAAATACCATGGCCTGGGTTAGACACACCTAAGTATTCAAGAAGACATCTTTGTACTTCAGCACTTGACAAAGGTCTTTTGCAGCAGATTTGACCAAAGGGATACATCTTATGATGTCTTGACTGCTTCCACTGGTGTTGATTGTGGAACCAAGTAATATGAAGTCATTGACAATTTCAATCTTTTCTCCAATCATCGTGATGCTGCTTATTGGTCAAGTTGTGAGGATTTTTGTTTTCTTTATATTGGGGTGGAATCCATTTTGCAGACTATAGTCTTCAATCCTCATCATAAGGCACTTCAAGGTAAGGCACCTCAAGTCATCCTCACTTTCAGCAAGCAAAGTTGTGTCATCTGCATATCGCAGGTTATTAATGGGCCTTCCTCCAATACTGATGGCACGTTCTTCTTCATATAATCCAGCTTCTCAGATTATGTGCTCAGCATACAGACTGAGTGAGTATAGTGAAAGGATACAACCCTGACACACTCCTGATTTTAAATCATGTGGTATCCCCTTGCTCTGTTCAAATGACAGCCTCCTAGTCTATGTGCAGGTTCCTGATGAGTACAATTAAGTGCTCTGGAATTCCCATTCTTCTCAATGTTATCCACAATTTGTTATGATTCACACAATCAAATGCTTTTGTATAGTCAATAAAATACAAGTAAACCTCTTTCTGGTATTCTTTGCTTTCAGCCAAGACCCATCTGACATCGCCAGTGACATCCCTCATTCCACGTCCTCTTCTGAATCCAGCTTGCATTTCTGAAAGTTCTCTGTCAACAGACTGCTACAACCATTTTTAAATTATCTGCAGTAAGATTTTACTTTTGTGTGATATTAATGATATTGTTTGATAATTTCCACATTCTGTAGAATCACCGTTCTTTGGAATGGGTACAAATGTGGATCTCTTCCAGTCAGTTGGCCAGGTAGATGTCTTCCAAATCTCTTGGCAGAGCCGAGTGAGTGCCTCCAGTGCAGCATC